CCTTGGCCATGATGGAACACATTGAAGGCACAGCGCCTGCATGGAACTAACGCTCAGGAGATGGGAGCTGAGGCTGGCCACAGATTCTGAGCTTGGCACAGGAACCCAGTGTCCTTTGTGTGCTAGGGAGGAATGCCCATCTGCACTTGATGCCCCCCCCCCACCCCCAAAACACGAACAGCACCCCGACAACTGTATCATCACAAAGAAGTCCTCAGTTTCCATCTCAATGTAGGTTAAACGGTTTGCATAATTCAATGCCCAAATAGCTTGCCGTTTAAGCCTGTGATGCACAAAGGCTGGCCCAGCAAGACCCTTCAAAATGAAACATAGCCAAATTAAGTTAATGAAACAACTAAAAAAATGTATATAAAAGTATGTATACTATATATAACACAAAACACAAAATAGCACAAAAAGTAAATGAGGACCATCCCTCCTCCAGCAGCTTCCATAAAAATCCTGCTAGAATCAGAGATGTTTCCATAATGAGATCTGACTGGGTTCATATCAGCCAGGCTGGGGGGGGTGGGGTGGGGAATGGAGGGGGAGTTAAGGTTGGATCAGCTTATTTTGGTATGTCAGCCCTTCCAACTGTAAATATCCATCTGATGAAAGGACACTGCGCTATTTCAATATTTCTGGGCATGGTCCTAGTACCCAGATGGCCGTTACGAATGCAGCAGTGCGCCGAGATCTAAAGAGGTGACTGTCAGCACGCTCACTCGGCGAGTGCCAATCTGCTCCGCCACTCTGGACTCCAAAAACTTTACCCAAGCCGAGCACAACTATTAGTGGTTTAAAAAAAAAATGAAAGAATACAAATGCTAGCTCTTTTATCACTACAGCTTGCCCCTCCGCATGCCATGGCTCGCGACAAACTCAACACGCTTGTGCAAGATTCACGCTTCAGATCTTAAATTCTGCACTTCTGTGCACAAAATGTCTGGGATGTCAAAGAAGAGCTGTTAAAGGCCGGACTGACATCTAAGCGGGTCCCTAAGAAGGTTTTTTGGGGGGGGGGGGGCAGGAGTCTTTACAGCACACACCCACACCCTTCACCTGCTTGGCCACCACCCTGAAGGCGTCCCTTTGAACGTTCACCCCTGCTAATTAGTCTAGATCCCCACTGCATACACGCTGCTTATCACGTCATAAAATGGAGGACAGACACCAGCTCCCCCTCTCTGACACCTGACAGCCAGCCAAACGCTAAGCTCTTTGTGTCGAACAAATAAAGATGATTTACAGCACATATGAGAGCAGTGATGACACACACAGTCATCTGGGACAGATATATGACTTTTGGAATACACGTACTGAGACTAATGACCCCTTGGTGGAACAGCAGACATAACACAACAACACGTCCTTCTCCAGACCATAATCCTTACCTCATAATGCTCACCATCTTGCAAAAACTCCAAACATCCTCTACATAGGCACTGTGGCATGACTATTTTGAGCCGTTGTGATGAGACCAATATCCATTCCAAATAAAGGGCTTTCAAAGAGTCTACTACCTACAACATCTGTTGACCAATACTTGCATATACGCACTCACATACACACCAAACATGTATAGATTACCCGTTAGATAGATATGACCATACAATGTTTGTATAAGGATTATCTGTTTATGCTGCAGACCTGATACTTCCCCATTTAATTAATTTCCTGTTTTTCAGATTTGTAGGACACCATTATGCCAGAAAATTTGAAGTGCACATTTAACCAGAGCACCGTTTCATTGCTTAATATGCATATTCAGAAAGCATTATTATACACACACATCTGCATATATAACACATAAAGGCATACTTGTTTCCAAACTGATACCCACTATATAATTTTATAAGCAATGATATCTAAAGACATATACTCCATAAAGGCCTTCAAACAGATAGATTACACCTAAGCACTAACAAAAAAAAAAAGTTAAAAACTACATTTCCCCCCATTTGTGAACAAAGATGAAAATTAAATGCAGTCCCTGTGATCTTTTCCATTAAAGACTTATTTGCTGACATTCATGTTTTATTATCTTTTAAAAATTATACTGAAATACAGAACCAATATAAAAAATACTGCAATGCCAACACAACTGCCTGAAAGATGAAGAAACATATGCCCACAAATGATTACCAATACTCCCAGAATCACTCTGGATGACCTTTGCCATAATAACCCAGGGACAGATGAATGATGCAAGCTTCGCTGTGGGTGGGGCTGGGTAAACCGCACAGGGGATGAAGATGGGGGAATGAACTTGACCTGGTTAGGAGGACAGAGGCTGGTTGGTCCGTCAGACTATGCTTCAGCAACCAGGAAGGGAGTGGAGGTGGGGGGGGG